CTTAAGCTTATCAGGCAATTTTAACGCCTTTAAATTGGGAAATAATCTTGATTGGGTTGAGAAGTCTTAAGAGGTAGCTTTATCTTACGTTCTTTTCTTTTTTTTCTGAGATAAAATGATTATAATACATTTTCCTTAACAATTAAAGGATTTAGTATATCGTATTCTTACCAAGATCATTTATATTACCTTTTATCCCAAAAAAACATACATTAAAATGGATTTTTTTTATAAACGCATAATTTTAATACTAATGGTAAACTACTTTTTATTAAAATAGAAATAAATTATTTATGTTATAATCTTGACATAGAAGACAATTTAAAGTTTTTTGATATGTAGTATTTTTTATTTAAACATATGATTTCTGCCGCTTGAAATGCGAGCTTAATTGAGCCCCACAATATAATTTCAAATTTCATGACTGGAATTAGCATATATATGACGACACGCTGCTCTACTTTATTGCGTTAATGAAAGCTAAATCGTACGTAAAATCTGTAAAACGGAACAATCGTTGTTTACTAAAACAAAAGGAATATGATTTTTATTATGCTCGCTTTGTAATCAAACCACATTGTTTTAACCTCTATAGATAGTATCTTTTTTGTACTGTATTTTGTACAATTTAAAATAAACTATAGAAATTGTACATTTACAATACACAACTTTCACCACTCAAGCTAATTAAAACGGGGAATCTCAGAATACAGGTTAAAAAAGTTTTTTTCTAAATTGAAGATACTAACCGAATAAACTTTTAAATTTATTTAATACAGGAATACACAAAAACATTAACTATAAAACTATTAAGTACATTATTAGTTTTACAACAATATTGTAGATTATAAATGTTCAGTCCACAGGTTGTACAAAGTTTCATCGAACAAGTTGCAGTCACCAAACTTTATATTTAATGTCTTCACTATTTCGCCTTATAAAGTCTTGAGATGAGTTAAAGACTTCGTCTCTATAAAGTTGCATAGTCTATAAAGTTTGTATTGCGAACATAATCAGTAGTGACATTCTTTAGGCGTCCCATCTGTTAAAAGGTTGTTTTACTTACGTAGGAAACATTATTTTGTTCGTTACAATATTTTAAAACAAATTTATCACGAATAATCATGAGAACGTTTTCGTAACGTTATGGAGATTTGTATTAGATTTGTGCAGCGCCCTCTGACGTACAGAGTATCAACAAATTTTATACTTCTCGATGATGTTAGGATTACGCATATATCACACATATATTCGTTATAGACCCTTAGAATGAAGGCATTCATTTTGACATAAAATGCATCTATAAAATTTTACGGGTTATTAAACTAATCTAAATGTTGAAAGATCTTCTCTATAACGTCATCATTAAAACATTACGTTATATTTGAGTAAAATCTCATGAATTTTTTTGGTTATGTTGGGCGGTTACTTTATCTATGTTGAATAACGTGTGCTCTTTGTTTGATTTAACGAAGCTAATTAAATTCAATGTTAAATAAAATCAACTCAATAGGTACTACAGGAGCATTTTCTCATAAAACGAATATACTTTGCTCATTGGTTCGTGTAGTTTAATTAAATTTAGGATTGCGAATTAGGATTCACTCGTGTGTGAATTTACGAATCTTTTGGAAAAATAACTTTCATCGTAATAATTTAATTGGTAAGTAAATATTGAAGACACGAATAAATTAAAATTAATATTAATAATTAAAGAATATTACATAAGACTCTAGTTTTATTGTAATCACGATAATTTAATGTCGAGACTAAATCTGTAATTGAGCCAAAGATTCATTCTAATTCTTGAATGATTATTGAGAGAGACAGGCTTCGAGAAATATTCCTGCCGATTTTCTGGATTAAGAAGTTTAATTAGTAGAGTTACTAAATTACCTTCGACAACTTTCAACAACTTCGTGAAATATTTGAAGCGGCTTCTAAGTTTTGAATTTTATTGTTTTATCATGCCTCTAGCTACAAATACTAGCAATTAACCTATCTTCGCTCGGATTTTCAATTAAAATAAAGGATATATAACAGGAATTTTTAAAATCATTTTATTGTCTCAACGAATAATTACGTAAATGCCGATAATCTATACTAAAATTATAAAGAAGAAAGATTTAGAAATTTGGAATTTTTTATGTATTTAAAATAACTCAAAAACTACTGGACCGATTTCAAAGATACTTGCACCATTAAAAAGCTATTGTATCACTGAGTAACACAGGCTATATTTTTACTTTTATTAAATTTCACGCGGGCGAAGTCTCGAGCAAAAGCTAATTAACATTAAAAGATAGTATATTTTGATCGTCATTATCCATGTTTATAAGCCACCTGATATTGACGTAAATTAATCATTCCAACTTAAACGACAAGCTAATCCAGATTCCCCAAGGAGCACCTCAATAAACATTAATACAAGGCCATTAACATTAATGCCGCAACAAATTTATTTAATTTCCAGTCAGCCCGATAAATGGGTAACTGTAAAATAACTAACTACTACATCTAACTCGTATTCAAAAGAAGTAGAATTAATATTCAAAACATATTCAAGATATCGTTCTCCGGCTTACACTAGACATCAAAAATAAAATATTTTTAATGATATCTATTTAAATCTAGCTGTTGTCCGCGTCATCCTTCACGTAATATTAAGATAAAAAATCTATAACATGCCCGTCTATGTCAGCTACCCTTCAGTGAAAGTCCAGTCGAAATCGGCCCAGCCGTTTTGAAGATTGTCCGGAACAAACTAGGCTTACGGACAAACAGGCAACCAAAAATTTTTTAAATCTAATTTTCGTTATCAGCAAGGCAAATTCATCATCTTCCCGGTATCCAGAACTTTTCTTTTGATATTACAAAAAGAAACTCCTATTTTATTATATGTATAGAAAACAGCAAATTCTTTAAAATTCGATCCGTTATTTAATTCTCATTTGTGTATGTCTCGCTAAGAGACAAAAAGCTCTTTAAAAATGTCCACGCTGTTACAGTTTTTGAAGCAAATTATATGGGACAATGTTTGTACCAGTTGCGAGCAAACGACTTTTGTTTGAAAACAACTGACATTTATCTTATGCAAAGCGTATACCTGTAGATGGCGCTGCCAGCCTCATGTCAAGTAGTACTGTTCAGCAGAACACAAAGTTACAATTACACCGGCGTACACCTTTGACTATACTATGGCACATTTATTGTGCGATTCACAGCTAATTCACCACTTTAGTTGCACAACTAAAAATCCAGTGTACGCACCTCTATATTAGTTAATAAGAAACAAAGCGAGACTAAGCATTTGTGCGATAGTTTAGTCAAAGATGTGCGCGTGTTTTTAATGTATTAAATTAAATGCGAAGTATCTATGTTCTAAAGTTTTATAAGTCACGTGTGTTACTACAAGCGCTTATTATGTGAACCGATTTGAGAAGGTCTCTGCGGGAACGCCATTTCCCAGCGGGATTTTGCTGTCAAACATGAAATAAATCCTTGACTTGCACGGAAAATCCGTTTGTGGCTGTCCATTCTATCTCTATGATGGATCGAATTTGTACCTGGATTTTGTAAAAACTTTCTTTCATAAATTGTACAAAATGAATGTGAACATATCGATAAAATTAGAAGTTTTTGGACACCAGCAAAAAATTTGGTTCGCTTTGTAAGGACCTCAAATCACCGGGAGTCGACCTTTCCTTATTAGTTTTTTTGTCTGTATAGTAATAACTTAAAAACTACTTGGAAGATTTCATAAATTCTTTTACCGTTAAAAAGCTGCGTTATCACTGAACAACATAGGCTATGATTTTTACTATTTGTTAATTCCACGTGGACGAAGTGGCGTGCAACATCTAGTTATGAAAAATTGTTTTATTACCTTTTTTTTCATAATGATCACATATCTTGTTTTCATTACTGTTATCTTAAAAAAAATACTAGGATTCTTCCTGTCTATATGATTCAGTCCCTGTCATGATTTATTGTAATCATCATAAATCAAACATACGATTGAATTAAAGAGGGTGGCCGTCAGCGGAGCGAAACTTATCCGAGCCGTATTGTCAGCAATCATATGGACTATATCACTTTTCCTATCGTTATTCGTACAATATGTCGGACTACATTAAGGATAAAGTAAAAGAACCTTGATTCACCATAGATTAATGATATTTATTTAGCTAACCTCCGAATTGAAACGATTTTTGAACCGTTCGTAAGCGCCATGGAGTTTAAACGTAGCATTTAAGACTCTTACTTATGTAAATGTCGTTTAAATTTTTGTCCGTTAGTGTAATTTCAAGAGTAAAAAATCTAAATCAATTGACAAATTAAATTAACTTGAATATTTTAAAATTGAATCACGAATTAATGTAAAATAATACATTCGTGTAAACCGTTGGCCCAATTTGGTTGTAATTAACAAACTGCTGGCGAAGCTGGGCCCAATTAAAATACTTGCACGACCACAGCGAAGACAATTTTACAACTGACCGTTTCAATTAATTAGGAACATTAGCGGTCCTATATTGGGTCAGTAATTAATATCAAAACGAATTCGTCGTTCTCAGATTCGGGGCTCGCGGCGAATATCTATTAATTTGGCCGTAAAGCTCGGCCGTTACGGCGACTCGCCAATTATTCCCGACCCCCTCTCCCTCGATAATTAAATTCTATGATGTTCGCTGAATCTAAGACAGGCGCCGTTTGCGATACTCGAATTACTGTTTCATTGCCCGTAAAATATACGAGAGCCTTAGTAATGAGCGAACTTTAAAGAGAATTTCTTTTATAAACAGACTTAATACAAAACGAATGTCGATGATTTGAATAATGAATGGCATAAATGTTAAGTGCTGATTTATTTCTTTAAATAACTAAATTAAATTTATATTTCTAAATATAAGTAAAATATGTATTTAAAATTCTTGAGTATGCTAAGAAGGAAAATTATTAAAACAATGTTTAATTCTAAAATAATTTATTTTGTTCTTTTCCTTTTATAAAACAATTGCTTACTATCTAGCTTAATATTATTTTTACAATAAACATAACTACATATTTCAATAGCGATCTCTCTACTCAAATTCATCATTTTAATATATCTATACAGTAGTCATTTCTTTTTCTTTAAATAGTTTGTTACGAAATTTCAGTGTTAAAATAAACTGTATTTAAAAACAAAGCGATATCAATAAATGAAAAGCCAATTCCTTATTTCAGTCTATATCTATCTTAATACAATGGGAAATCGAAGCGAATTTTTGCATTTTTATTTATAATACAATAATATTGAATTACATTATTAATACTGGCATTCTTAATTAAGTTTATTGCTTTTCGCCAATTACATTAATGACATTATTATTTTCTATTCATAAAAATAATTAAAGTTTCATTATTCTATTTAAATACTAAGCATACTTCACAAGGCACTATTCTAGCGAGAATACCTACAAATGAAACTTAACTGAAAACAATGCGAACATCTATTAAATTCGGTTTCAAACTCCGAAAATGGGCCTCAAATTACAACACATCTTCATTAAGCAATAAAACAATATTAAATAACATCAAGTTTTTCAAACTTAAGCCATTTTATACGAACTTAATAAGTTGAATAAACTTACTACACGCAATACTAAAGTTTTAATATAACTACACAATAAATACGACTGTAAAAAAAGCAATTTTATTTCTATTAATAAAAAACTTTTTATAGTGGAGAGATAATCTATTTTTATATTAGCGTTTATATTGCATTCGTATTCTTTATAAATTGGGGATGTGCACGATTTATATTTAAGTTATTTCTTACAGTAAATGCATAAATAGGTACCTATTGGTCTTTTATAAAGAGCCTAAATAATTACCGTATATTGTATTCTCATTTCCTTAACAATGGTTTGGATATATAAGGTTATGTATTTGTATTTATTTTTGTCATACATAAAAAAGGATAGAGCAAACATTTATATACTTCTTATTTACATTTGTAATCAATGTATTGTCAATATGATACACTCTAACTTCTTTCAAATGTATAGTGGCCGACATTTGAGTTGGCATATCGGAAACAATAGTACTGTTATACTCGAAGTGCCAACTCATACGCCAGGTTCTATAGACGTCGCTCTAAAAGGATACGAAACTCTTATATAATAGGATAGATAACTCAAATCCATAGGCATTTGTGCAATTTCCCAACCAAATTCTCAAACTTGAACTGATATCACAGCATTTTGTATTCATGAATTATCACCATCCCTACTTATTGTAATATTTACAATTAACTTTCAACACAACATTACGTACATCAAATACCATCATTAATTTATTGACACTCTAAATAATTAAAAAAAAGAATCGTACATTCACAAACCGATACTCAGTCATTTTTAAACGATTCCTACAAATGCTTCGATAATGCTGAGTAAGGTAAACTATTCGATATTAACAACATTACTTAGCAAAATTACACAAGAAATTCCCAATTCCAAACATAGCAATCGCAGCCCCCAGTTAAATAAAGGCAGTCATCAATCAAACCGCTCAGTAACCGGAACCACCGACAAATCTATGAAGTTATCTTTTACCGGATCGTATTTCCTTTTCAAGATGCTATTTATCCTTGAATATTGAATCGAGCTTACAAATTGAATTAATACGAACGTTTAATATTCAGATTACATTAAACATTTGAAAATGAAATAATTTTGTTAATTTATTAATAATGTATTCATCAAGCCTACGTTAACAGCATAAGAGTTTTTTTTTATTATGTATCTAAAGAATATAAAAAATACATGAACGAAATGTCGGTGACGATAATGTGTTAGCTGTGAAATTAATTAAATGTTTGAAAGGCAATGCCGCAATTCTATTTACTGTAAACTTAGTAAAATAACCATTGAACTATTGATAATGATAGCAGCAATAAAAACATCTTATAGTTTACATGTGCGCTTGGGGCTCGGTGTAATGTCAATTGACTTGGTGAACACTATCACCGCAACGACGCGACTATTTCGTTGTCCATAGTGTTCTGCTGGCTCGAGGAATTCAAACTTTTGGAACATTGCTGGAAAACAATTTTAACATAAATAACAACGGCTGCAAGATTACCTAGATAAGCATTATTTTATGTATTAAAAAGTACTGTCTGGTTAATTAAACTTGATTTGACTTAATTAGAGTAAATAATGTAATAAAAAAAATTGTTTAGCGTTTAAATGATTTTCTATGTAATAAATTATCTCTCAATTCAAGTCAACTTCTTTCTTTCGTAGGTTAATTATTGGATTTTATAGCATATTCAAACAATCAAGACGTGATTACATTATGCAAACTATTGTTTGTTTGTTATGTCGATACTTCAACAACCCTCTCAGTTTAGTTACAATATAAAATTGATAGTAAACACAATCTGTCTCACCATCTGCCGAGACTCCCAGGCTTTCATAGCACTCTTATACTTCTCAAACTCGTGGCACCAATCCGAATAGACTTGTTTGTACTCCTGTGATCTGCTTGGTTGGCTACACCTAAAACAAAATGAGGTTATGCCATAAATTTAGATTTTACATCTGTCCCATTGATAGAGATAAACCAGGAAGCTTATTAAGGTGATAAAAATATTAAGCATTCACAAAAAAATACAACAGACTTGAATAATCTCTTAAGTGTCTTTTATAGCTGTTAAATATAATTTCAATTTCATTGCACCGCTTTATAAAGTCGATTGTTATGTCATTATGTTCTTCGTTCATCGATAGCTCTCTAGCTAACGAGCGAGCAACTCGTTAAACTTGTACGTGAGAACAAACAAGTCTCGTACGAGACGTTTTATATCGCACCTAAATAAAACCTAATGAACGTCTGTAAATTCTCAACAAGATGCCACAAAAAGTGGAAGTTCTCCTAACTTCCACAACAACAAACATTTACCGCGGAGACAAAGATTGTAGATTGGTTGCCTGGATAGCGTTGACACTACTCGTATTTACAGCTTACAAGATCGTAGAAATTATTTTGCTTTAAACGTTCAGTCGTCGAACCGATTCGTGCACTTGTTTTAGTTTTATATTTTAAAAACTAACGATTCCCTTGTTAATTAAAAACATATCTCACAAGTTTCTTTAATCACGCAATTATAAACAACATTAAAAATATTTTTTGTTTACTCTGGAGTTTGTATGAATGCAATTTAATTTACCTTTGGGTGTCAATGTCGAGATTGTAGGATGCGATGAGCGTGGGACCGAAGTAACACTCATAGCGACCTCGATCTGACTCCGTCACTGATAATAATACCAGACCGCGCTCAGAGGTCTGCAATATTCGCTCCCAACTAAAACAAATAAAATTTTTAGTTCAATATTCTTACTTGAATGCAAGAAAATGTATGCTTGATAAAAAAAAACTAAAAATAAGCTATTCGATTTAAGCTCGGTTTCTGAAGTTTCCATTTATTTTGTCATTATCTAGTGATTATACTGTTAACCTAAGTATTAACGGAATATAACTGAAGTTACGTAGTTCGGAAACGCATTTCATGAAGTTATCAAACCAATACTAACAAATAATTAAACGAAGCTGGGAAACCGGCTATAAATAGATTAACTAAACATTAGGGTCGTCTTTCGAATATAGAGTAAACTAACATAATAAGTTTTTAAATTACTGACTTGTAGTTAATTTTGTAACGTCCTTTTTCTCGTGAATGGTGATACCAAACGACGATCTGATCTTTCAATGCTTCGGGTGTCTTTCCAAAGGCCGCCATATGCACGCTCTGTCCATACCCTGCTCGCACCGTCCGCAGCGGGGCGCTGGCTTCACAGATCGATGGTGTAGAGTTGGTGGCGTCGTGGAGAAGACCAGGTGTGTAGGGACGACAAAGTCCCGCCTCTTTGTCCCAACCACAATACGGGTCTAAGACGCAGCGTACACAACTATCGTATCTGTGTCGATGAGAAAAATGAGAGCCTTGTTATTGTGTGTTTATATTTTTAAAACTTTCCCTTGGATCAACATTTATAATAAAAAAATTATTGAATGTCTAACAGAAGAATTTTTTGTATTTTATATTAAACTTAATGCTGTTGGTTTTTAACACGGCTTTTCAACTCCGTAACACAAGTAACGGCGACTTAGATATCAATAGAAAATAAATCTGTAAATTATTATAATATATGGAGCTATCATAAGGCATTGTAAACAACGGTTTAAAAATACATTCGTACTTTGTTTCACTAATTAACAACGTTTATTTTTTACCTTTAAAATTGTTAATTACTTTTAAAACAGTTGGGGGTACACATAAACGTATCTATTCTATCGTAACAACATCAAAAAAAACATCACAATTGGGGTGTTACTCACCGATGCGTGCACGCCCGTAGCGGCAGTTGTCGAAGGCGGTTGTCTGTTGCGAGGTAGAGTGCGTGTGTGCGTCGCGACAGCGCGAGGGCGCGCACCGCCTCTGTTCCCGCCGCCCGCCACACGTCAGACACTCGGGACCCACCTCCTGCCCACTGCACTATCTTGTATACCTCGCCATTACCTTAGGAACAGAACTTCGTTATTCAACTCCTTTACCACTCAAACATTTTAATTCAAGGCGTAAATTAATCCAAAAACATTACAACGTCTTTGGTCCTAAGAGTAAACGCATGTCATAGTTACATATTTCCAATACGTTCTTTGAGTTTAAAGCAATATAAACTTACTAGTTCCCGCATAGAATACGGTGTATGTGATGTCATCTCCCAGCATGTCTACGAACTGTTTGTCTACGACCAGCGTGGTCAGCACAAGATCCCGCTTGTAGAACGCCGGCGTGTCTCCCTCTTGTCTCACCGCTGAGTCCATTAAAGGGTGAGACCTGGTAGAATAAACATTTCCTAGTTAACTTAAAATGCAGACATACTCGTAGTTATTTAAATTTAAAGGACTCGGTAGCCATCTCAAAACTAGAACACATTAGCAAGTAAGTTGATTAGTAAAACGCTATCGAAATTCTGAATATATTTCATCTAACAATCGAATAACTTTCAACAAAAATTACGGTTTATTAAAAAAGTATTATAAAGAGGAAATATTTGGATTTTTGCATGTATTCGATTCACGTAAAAACTACTGGGCCGATTTCAAAATTCTTTCACCATTAGAAAGGCAATTTATCTGTCAATAATGGCTATTTTTTAATTTCGCGCAGGCAAAGTCAAGTGTAACAGCTAGTTAAAAAGAAAGATGGTATCTTTGAAGTCTACTGGTTATATCCAGTTCTCATAATTACTTCCATCATTGAAGTCGCTGTTATGCTCGGTATCGTTAATAATAAATCAGTAGTACTCGTAGTTTAGTATTCCGCCGTCAATTAAGATACATGTATGTGACCCAATTAAGAGAGCACGCATCGCGACTAACGCACGATATGCCCTTGTATAAGATTAGTTTCCCAGATATATAAGAGCAAATCCTCTGCTTTTCCATTAACCCAATTTCCTTAAGATATAAAACGTTTTACGAGAACGACAGATCTCTATTAATTAAACTATGTAGTTTATTATTATGTTATTTTAACAATTGTTTTTACTTGATCACCGCTTGTTCTTTTATAACTGTAATCAAGGAAATCATTACAATACTCAATATTATTAAATGAAGTATTTGAAAGAGGTTTTAACAGCATTTAAACCAATATGGTACACAAACAAAATTCATTTGATAAGAAAAATAGTTTCGATTTCGCTGGCATTGTTATTGAAACACATACTATCAAAGTCATAATTTTAGCTTATAAAGTAGAAATATACATTCAACTAAAAAGTAATAAAAAATGTTTTGAACATTTTTATTCGTAAAAAAATTTTTCTTAACTTCGCAGTAAAAAATCACAACTATTAATCTAATACAAACAAGGTAGTAAAGCACAAAGTTTAGTTACGCTTCTATATTTAGCAAAGCTTGTTTAACGTATAAGTTTATCATTGTGATTACAGCAGTCTTCGCAGTCAAACGAACGATACTCGTATCATCCATAACTTGCGATAAAAGTCATTAGGACGCGCCGTTCGGGATTTAATCCACACTCCCTAAATTGGATATGGGCTATTAAACTAACCTAAACTAAATAAGCATTATTTAACTAAGTAAATAACGAATCTCGGCTAAAAACCTAGATTTTACTGGCGAATTCACACGATATGTAAAGATTGATACCACTTTTGATTTTAGATATTTTACATTGCAGTTTTGTTTGGCTTCACATTGTTACACTTAGAATCAATTAACACTTACATAAATAAACCCTAAGTGAAGATTTCTCAACATGAGAGACGCCCTTAGTAATTATTAAAGAACACTGAATAAGGTTAGTAGATATTTTGCGCTAACACAATCTTATGATATGAAAGTTAAAGAAGTGCTTACATTTTAAAACTCACCTAATAAAATTAAGTACATTGTCGGGCAGCGCCTCTGTGTTGTTGACACAGGTGCCGGGGCGAGGTTCCGGCACTCTAGCTCTCAGCACGGGCAGCCATGCCGAGCTTGATGTAGCCTAAACAAATACTTTATCAATAAACATTCAATTACGTTCAAAAATCTTTGAATGTTTTCGATCGAATTATATTACTATAAGCACAAAGATATTGTACTATACAGCGTAAAGCTTTTTATTGACTTTAATTAGATATTAATGTGTGTTACGACCTTAAAATATTAAGCCATGCATTAAAAAAACCTTTTTGGGAGCTCCAGGCTTGGGGCTGGTTCAAGACTGTGTAAGATAGAGCAAAGTGAAGACTTTTATTGTAAATTGATAGTACAGTCTTATTTCTTTTTTATTTACCTGTTCCTTAAAACGTCCATTAAATGCGTTTTGTATATCTTCCATCGTATATGTACAGATTGCAGAACCGACCAGGCCATCGCTAGCACCCGTCGTGAAAGCCGCATAGAAGCGACTGGTATCGCCCGGCATTTGATATACGCTCTCTACACAAACAATAATTATGTTATAGTTACAGTTGGGCTAAATATAAAAGTAATAATGAAAATATATTTGAACAAAATATACATTCCTTTGCTGGTTAATTTTTTGAAATTTTTGAAATTTTTTAAAGCTTGGCAATAAAATACATACATAATACAACGCGAATGTTAATACAATTTTTAAAAGATCCCCCTATAACGCGATTTATGACTCTGCCTTGTTGAAAAATGTGTTAGGTATAGGAAAGATTCCTATAACGCAACCGCAACCACGTTATAGGGGTTTACTTTATAAAATGGTCTATAATAGAGCCTTGTAATAGATTGTTAATATTTTTCAACTTACGTATTTCATCAAAATAGAAAGGGAACTCTCCAGGTATGCTGCAATTGAGTCTAGCTTTTAAATAAGTGGCCCAGTTCTGGCTAAGTATGTGCTTGCCCCCCGTATCTTGTTTGCAAACCCTCGCCACTCGAGAGTACACTGCCTTTCCACAGTTCATGAATTCCACTGCAGTTTCTCGGAAAAATAACAAAACGTACTCCCCCACGTCGAAGGATCCAACGAAATTTGTTTCTAAAAATAAAAACAAGGCACTGTATTAAACAAAAATTCCTGAATAATTAATTACTATAATAGAGTCTTGTAAAGTAAATGTTCCCATATTAACCAGTAATTACTCTATTAAATAATTTAAACGTCATTAAGTACTTACTATCCAACCATTTAGAATCATATTTCAACGTTCTCTTAAAATTAAATCTCTTTTGTCCTGTCCGGAAGTCGAAGAGGTCGTTACGGAAAATGACTGGATCCGCCTTGGTGAACTCCGCGTTGGTCCCCGCGTAGAGCGCTGGCAGGCCGCCAGGGTTGCCTCTGGTGACCCATACCGCGGTACTGTTATCCGCAGGGTCATAAGGGCATTTCGCCACCCCTAGACCCACTCCCGGCACGTATTCATGTCGGGGAAGATGTGTTAAGTTTAACTGCATAGAAAAAATATAAATTAGACCTCCAATCACACATATGAATAAATCGAAAAATGTAAATCGCTGAGCTATTGAATATAGATCTATTTGCATTTGCAAATAAAATATCGAATTGCTTTTATTAAATGAAGCAACCACAGCATTGTGTGCTATAGTAATTTATCTATTACTCCTTAACGAGTTTTCCTGGATCGTATTCCGTTGCGGTCCTATTCCAGGTGAGGGGTAGAAAAGATAAACAAAACTCATTTGTTATCTTACACTACCGCAACAGCGCTCACATCGCACGAGCACGGACGTATTCAGCTAATAAAAACATTGAACAGAATTATCTCTTGCAAACCAATCAAAACACTGCTATGAAGAAGTAATAAAATTTTACAGAACCGTTAAAATACATTTTTACAGAGCAGTTTTGATTTATTAATTTCAATTTCCGTACCGCTTTTATACGACTCAATTGCGCTAGTTATAAGTTTATTGTCCAAAGAATTCATAATATTAAAAAATGGAGTTGTAGTATAACAACACAAGCCAGGTAAAATTTATTCTTGGCACTTTTTTTTACATTTGACACATACTGCCGCGTTCCACCCATTAAATGTTACTAAGGGAATCTCTTAGTGTAGATATGACGGGCCGCTTACGTAAGATTCTGAGTATATAGTGGTAAATATAACA